CTGTCTGTCTGTCTGTCTGTCTGTCTGTCTGTCTGTCTGTCTAGGTTTTAAATATCTAAAAACCGAGGTTTTTAGATATTTAAAAGTATTTAATTTTATTTAAATAAATGAAATTCACCCTGTGATGGACTGGAAATCTGCATGTCCAGGGTGTACCCTGCCTCTCACACAGTGACTGCTGGATATGGGCACCAGTGACAATGATGGATAGATAAATAAAATTCAAAACAACAGAGGGACAATAGATATTTGAAAAGCAAGTTTCTAGTAATATTTCTGTTTTAGATAATCAAAATGTTTGCTCTTGATAGAAGAAAAAAAACTGTTTGTGGATATTTGGAGCTAGAAGTTTAATACACATAAAAGGGAAAAGTCACCAGGAACCATTTTATAGACATTTTAAATATGGATGTAACTTTTACAGGTCTGTTTTATCCATTATATGATAAATCGGATTGCTGTACATTGGTCCTCAACAACTCCATCTTGTGGCCAAGATGATTTTAATCATCTCCACGGTGAAATAATTTTATAATCACTTAACACAAGCACTGATTGATTGATTGATGGATTGCAATACATTGATCATGATCAGGAACAGCACTCAGAACAGATCTGAATTTGTTGGTAAATGTAAATGTGTTGATTTTACCAGAATTATCCGAGTTAATATATAAGTAGATACCCCTCGCCAATAAATAAATAAATGCATTAACTGATTAATTAATAAAAAAAAATTAAAGATTCAAATAAAATTATCACCATTTATACATATTAAATGTAAATATATCACATGTGGTAACTATTTATTCATATTATATGTCAGTATATCACATGTGGTAATGGACCTTTAAGAGAGTGGAAGCCCTCGTCTTGTGTTACAGTTTGATGTCAGCAACTTGCTCAAAAGAGAAACCTTGTGTGAGTTGAGTGATACTCCATACAGCAGCAGTTTTGTCTAATCGATACCGTTGAATCAATAGTCTAAGAGTTTAATGTTGTAGCGCTCTTTGACTGTCAACATTTTAAACTCCACCTACATATCTTTCTAGCAGGACCCTGGTGATTTCACAGCTCGGAGTGATGCGCTGTGGGAATGACAGGTTCATGTCACTGGAGAGCTGTTATAAAGGTTATCATTAAGAACTCTGTCAAAAGGAGATTTATAGAGAACTGAGTAGAACCAATGGAAATTACATTATCACATAAAGTTGGCACCTGTTCAGGTAGGTTTACCTCCACTCTGACAGAAGGCACAGTGAGTTTACAGCTCAGTTAAACTGAAATGAGTTATGATTGGTAAAATTGTTTCTGACTAGTTACACAATTGTGATAACTGGACTGATCTATGTTGTGTTTTTATCCAAGTTAGAAATATAAACTCATTGAATGTTCAACTTGTCTTTTATCTTCTATGTCTTCTTGCATGAAAAACAGCGTGTTTCACAACTCACCTGGAACTCTACATGGTTAATATTTGTAATGTTCCATCTGAGAAGAAAACATCTGCAGAATGATACAGTGTGTACTATAAATAAGAGTGCAAATAGCATCAGTGTGAGCATGAATTATTCTGTTGTTGATAAAGAAAAACTGAGCCTTCAGGCTTCAATAATGAATGAATGAATGACTCAATGAAATAAAATATAAATGTGATGGAAGTCCCATTAATGTTAGACACAGATATGCATTAATCAAATTATTTTCTGTTAAAAATGCTATAATAATTGGTCATGTCTGGAACTTTTCTGACTGATAATTTTATGTGGTTCTCATGTTCTTGGTTCTGTAAACTCAGATTTAAAGCCCACAGGAACAGGTTCTGTGCTATGACACATCTGTGGTCAGTGACAAACTGAAGACAGGATAAAAATAAACAATTTCAAGGAAACCCCATTCATCATATTTACTGTTATTAATCTCAGTTCCAGCAGATTTACTTTGTTCAAACGTTCATACTTTGCAACATGTTGAAGCCTTACAGCTAAACATTTTAAATTTAAAACTTATTTTCTTTTGTTTTTGTTTCCTTAAATGTATATATATATATATATATA